AGAGGGTCGTGTAAAATAAGTAGTCATCGCCTCGAAAGACGCAACTTGATTGTCGTCTTAGCGTACGCACCCACCATTTGTAGTACAGATACAGTCAAAGATACTTGCTATCAAAAGCAACAAGACTTCTTGCGTAAAGTTTATCGGGCTGATATCATGACTTTAGCGGAATATGGGAATGCTAGAGTAGGTCGACTGACTGAGTGAGGCGCATCTTGGAGGTCCATTTGGATTAGATTCCTGTCGCTCTGAAAACGGCTTTTGGCTCCGTGTTCCGACCACCGCCTATACATCGCCAGTAGGAACTTCAGATGACTTAACTGCCAACACACTACTTGGGTACACCCTTGAGTCAACGACAAATGAAGATCAATCACATCGATATATGCTACAAAATGGCGGGGTTACATATAACATTGCCTTTCGTACTGGAGCAATCCCTTCGAATCTGATCACGCATTAGTTTACGCCAAGTTATGCGCTTCGGTGGGCGCTCTAAACGCACCATACAGCGATGTTAACCGATCGTACAGTGGCACAGTATACGCGAATTTTCAACTTCAATGACACGTCACTTCGCCGCCACAGGTGTTCTAGTCCTGCGTATGCTGCTCGAGCCTTGGAAATACGGGCGGTTATCTCATTCGATGCGCTACCGTCGTTGGTCACGCACCTACCTAAGTACGAGAAGCAGTCAACTTCAGGTAATTCCTGACCGTCTAGTTTCAGAACAGAACTCGGTGACACCCAGTCTTGTAGCATCGTTTTGCACTTTGAAGGTGCAAATTACATGCCGAACGGAGCGACAGAACTTGCTAATCTATCAAGTGCTCTATCTGGGAGCGTGGCTTCAGGTCGCTCACTGCTAGCCACGCCAGTGCCAGGAAGACCGGAGGTCGCAACCTCAAGATTCCCAGGGTAGCATAAGCGAGCGGGTTTGATGTGGACGTCAATTGGATGGTGGAGCTGGAGTCTTGAATGTGAGTGTCTCGTATACATTGCACATCGTCGACTAGGGTCTCGAGTATACGATCTAAATTTGTCTGTCGTCGTATTCGAATCGGAGTACGCATGTTATATGTTATATATAGAACACAATCCCCTCGGCATTAATGCATACTCTCTGCTAGGGACAAATATAAGCGATATTGGAAAGAATCGGCAGGTAGGTTTGATATTATTAAGGTTTCACAATTTAATTATCTATTGAAACTCTCGATCTGCAGCACCTATAACCAAAACCAGATACCTAGGGATCATCATAGAGAGTAACTGACGTTGGTCCTTCTATGCGCAGACTTGTTAAATACGTTGCTTATCCTTTAATATCCCTTGGCTGAGATTATTTAGAGTGAGGCACGCAGCATTATATTCTGTTGTTTATCGTTACATATTCTTATCGTACTTTATTGTGTCCCAGAAATTTTTCCTGGCCTGTTTGAAAGGACTTCATTACTCTTCACCACGGCCTGGTAACCGTTAGGTGTCTCTTATCATCACAAACATTTTTGTCATAAAACTGCAAGTTTTATATCTCGTGTGAGAATTTCACCCTTGCGATTGTTAGCGATTCCAGTCATCCGCTCAGTCTCCATATTTCTTCCTACCATTCTCATGCAACAAACAGACGCTGTTTTACTCGGCTTAGAATCTAGCTTCAATATTTATCCTAATTCAACGGTGCCCTGTTAAGATCGTACCCCAGATGAAAAAAGGAAGGCCGTACACGGACTGATCGTGAATTTACAAAGATTATCACCTTTCATTCACGTTTACTGTTGTTTTGTGCGGCAATTTTATCCCCGTGTAATAATGAACACATTTTCCATTAAAGTATAAGCATAAATGCTTGCTTGAGTCTTGCCAATGCAATACAATATAATGTACAGTCTATCGGCTTTTTGCCTTTTTCATAATTTTATATAACTTCTTTACACAGTACGTTTATCAGTTGAGCCATGCCATTTCCTACTGCCATCAAAACGATGTCATTCACCGAGACTTGAAACCGGAGAACATCCTTCTCGGAGTCCGTGGCGAGGTAAAAATCGCAGACTTTGGTTCTGCCGTGCACCGGCCGGCATCCAGGTATGTGTGCCCATTTCTGTCTGTCTAGTTTCTCTCACCAGACGTACGGCTCCGTTCGGCACGTTGGATTATTTGGCTCCAGAAGTCGTGAATCCTGAATCGTCATACGAACATCCAGTTGATATTTGGAGCTTGGGAATACTGGCGTTTGAAATGCTTTTCGGTCACGTTCCCTTTGCTGGTGAGACTACGAAAGATGTAGCTGACCAAATTCGCTTTTCCGAGCTCAAATTTCCACACGACGCCTCGAACACAGCCGCCGACTTAATAAACAATGTGAGTGCTTATTCATTTCATTTCTGTGATCGTGCGTATGGGTAATCCGATGCGTGAACGGGTGTTATAGTAAGCGAAGACCATTTTCTTTGGGTAACTTGTTAAGAATCATGTTAGTTATACAAAAATCCCTGTTTTTCGTTTCTTTTATCATTCTTTTTTCAGAGTATCTTGTTATTAAATCTGCCAATAAACAAGCACTTCAATTCTTCGTGCTTGATCAGCAAGTCCACTCTCACGTCTCTCCTAGATTTTTTGTTGGCTTATCCACCATTCTTACAGCGATTCTGTATTTCAGCTCTCGTATTGCCGCTGCGAGAAAATCACTTTATCATACGATTAGTCATCTGTTATCCATCGAATCCCAACCAAATCAGTTCATAAAAACCTAATCTTCTTACGTCAACGGAGTTTTTTCCCCTGTTTCCATGTGTATCCTGATTAACTGCTAACAGATAAGTTCATTGGTTCAGAACCTATGTTAATTTCATGTCTTCAGTTGACGTATCCTACTTCGATCCAAGAGAAAAATCTCGCATACTTTCTTCGCAGCGATTGGCCGCCAAATTATTAATAGCTTCAAATACGAAGATACTATATTGACCATTGAGGTTTTCGTTCTAAAGTACCCTAACCAGTTCTTCGCACGTAACCTTTTTTAGTCCCCACTCTTATGTACTGAGTAGCAGAAGGGCGAATCCCATGGTCACGAAGACCTGCTGTTCATTGATGGAAATCGATTACGTAAACCCCGAGTCTGGGAATGGTGAACCACATAAGGCCCCATCATTAGCTATACCCATACAAGATCGTTTCTAAATCAGAAATGATCGTAGTATTGTCTACTCAGTTCCCCACAAACCATCAGTAAGTGATATAGGATAAGAAGGTACAATTTCAGTCCGTTTGTCGATCCAATCCTGAAACTCAACGCCTAGTATCAACAATGCACTCTTCCGTTTCATCTCGGATTACTGCTTCGTCATCTTTTGGATTGTCTACGTTCTCAGTGTTATTTCGTATCAACGGAACACTTATGGATGCTGAAAGCTACGAGCTATCTGTACACTGACATTGTCTTTCCATCATGACGGGTTTGCACTTTAGTATGGTGTGATGCCTTGTGTGCCGCCATGACCCGGCGAGCTAAATGAGATGGCTTTCCACACCGTCGATCAAATTGTGTCTAAAAGGTCAACGGGTAGAAGCCAGATAAGGCTCTGTCTCAGAAGGCCACCTGCTTGGGTACCTCACAGTGCCCTTCTGACAATCCACGCTCGCCCGTGGAGAGGTCGCTCCAGCAAATAAACACAGTGAGGGGCAGTTGACCAGTCGAAATCCCCACTAAATGGACGTAGAAGCGGAGCGCCTAAGGGCACCTCCCAATAGTCAGTCTCCGCATTTCATTGGACGGTCACTACCCGTTAAGGCTGCGCGCGCACACACAACTTCAGAACCCACTCATTGTCACCAGTTCCATCGGTCCTCTCTTCTCTTCCATTTGATTGGTTCATTTTCGGCCATCGGACCGTTGTGTATATGTCTTTCTCCCTATTCATTCTGACCGTTGATCTCGAGCGATCTGCCCGTGTATGCAGTCGTTGAACCAGTTGAACTCCTTGACAGCCATTGAAGGCTCTTTTTGATACAGCAAAATGCTGTCTTTCTCTTGGTGTGTTGTGATATAATCTCCAATTTTGTATTTAAGACGCACAATCTTTCGATTGTGCCTTGACAGTGCAAGCTCGCACTCACCGAATTGCCTCACGATTGGAAGTTTGTAACTTTTTTCGTTATCGTGTTTGTCACAAAGGTAATCTGAATTCAATGAGACAACGAATTCTCCATCGAATCATTACCAAATACGCGACGCCTCACCTCGGAGCTCCTCACACGCTCGCTGCATCCAACCCACGTCAAACTACGTAAACATCGGAAGTCGAAGACTTCCAGACGAATATTTTCCACGCGCAAATTTAGGGTCTCGCAACCATAGAGCAGAACTGGCCGCACACTGGCACGGTCTCTTTTATCACTCCCTTGTACACAATGGATGACGACAATGCGTCTGACTCGTTGGTTGACTTAAACTCCGACTCCATGAGTTGTATTATTCTCGTTTCAATACTATCAGTTGTCTCGTGTCAGTTTACTGACGTGGTCTTCGTCTGTGTCGGTTGTTGGGCCGAATAACACCCAGCCTAAGATGGTCAGTGTTGCACATGGTTGCCACGGGGTACCGATGTGCTCTTCCAATACCCAATGAGCTTCTGGGACTTTTGTACCTATCAGGAGGCTCACCTGGTCAGAAGTTGACAGACAACTTAATATCTCGCAGGTGTGGTCATTGGTACAAACATTCCTTTGAAGGGACCTGTGCTCTCGCAATTGGTAAGTGATCGACTGTCTAGGCTCTGTCAACAGGCAAGCAGTAATTGTCACTTATCGATCTTACGTCGAAGGAGAGCTCTAACGGGTCGGTGGAAATGTTGACGCCAATTGATGAAAGTGACAATTGAGTTCACCTACGAATCATCCCAGTCTTTTCCACACCATCACAAAGTAATAATGTCGCGTCCGACCCGTTGTCCAACAGCACGTAGGTATCAACACTTCCTTTTAAACCGACTATAACCACAGGGACAAATCCCAAATGTGATGCTGACTCGCCAATGCTTGTTGATTGGATGCGGATGTCTGGCGAGCAGGGTGCTGGATCTGTGCGGTGCTCATGTAGCAGTTTATGATGGTGCCGGCCGCATACGATTTCTTCACAACGAGTTTGAACTCTGCAGTTAATCGACCGAGGATTGGGCTTCAGGCAATTGAAACAAAACTTACTCCTCCTGATCGTTTGTAGTTCGTCGTTGTGTGACATTGCGGCGAATTTCAAACACGAGACTACCTCATGGGCTTCTGAACACACAAAACAAGCGGGCATTTTGAACTGTGTGGTCCTGTTGACAGAATGACGAGGTGCGTTTGATTCTGGATGGGTTAAACTCTATCAAGCGTAAGACAGCCTTTTACTGCCGCTTGCTACTTGCCCATAACAATAAGACGCGACTGATAACCGTTTTCTCCAGAAATTCTGCTAGGTTTCTGAAGCTAGTAGTAGTTTGGCGCGTGTAAGCAACTCCGAGATAAGGCGTCGCGTATTTGGTAATGAATTGATGGAGAATTCGTTGTCTCATCGAATTCAGATTAGTCGGCTTCGCTGCCCAGAGCGATTAGGTAGAATCGGTGTCTCCCGTCTTCCAGGTTGGGGTCTGAAAGACTCTACAGCTGGTTGGCTGGAGACATTAAAGGATATGGCGACTGACCGACAGCAGTAACGCTCTTGTTGTTATTTCTTAACAAGGCAGAATGCTTTAAAAAAGGTATGCACGAACACTTAGATTGTGTACTCTGTGTTCAACATATAGGTTATTTTTTGCCTCCCTCCAATTAGGCACCATCCCTCTGTATATTGTGCTTTATCATTTGATTTGTGTACGTTGTGATCTTGGCAGCAATCCGTGAAGTTCGCTTCATTGTATCTCGCTGTACGATGATGATGATGAGTACATCGGATGTCACTTATCGTTTTACCAGTACAGCCAAACAATCAGAAACTACAGCCGAAATTCAATTGTCACTTCATCTTCTTACGGATGGTTGAAAAAGGTGACAGATGCCCTAGTGAAAACCACAGATTCCTTTTAGACTTCTCGCAGGGATCGTAATCCGTCGATTGTCTGCCGCACATGTTAATCAGGCTGGCTTTTAACCTGGTCGAAGTTATATCGACCATATCTTCACTCTTCGTCAAATTCTGGAGCACAGATGTTCTTCTCGTACAGTTACTATGTCTACCTTCCTCGATCTGAAGGTAGTCTCCGACACAATGGAATGTTCTAAACTCTGATATTGCCTTTCCCTGAAATGTGTGCCTGAGAAGTTTATTTCAGCAATACGATCCCGTTATTCTAACAGCCGAAGTACGAGCTTACGGCACATTTTCACCTGAGTTCATCACGAAACTGGGGTTCGTCAGGTTTGCTCTCTCCCTTCAATTCTTTTTAACTTATTTGATTATGGAAACAGCCCTATCAGCGTGCGAGCATAGCGGCATCGATTTGCTCCCAGATGGCAGACTGTCCAGACGATCAATACTGAGGTTAGACTCAGATTTTTAGGTAACCGCGGTCATTCACTGGGACAAATGGTCGACCTTCATAGATTACTTTGGAGCATTTGTTATGTAGGACACCAAATAGGTTGCCACTTGCCGAGGCAAGTATTGGGTGAAAAAAAGCCAAGAGTGGTCAAATTAAGACCTTTCGCGAAGGTATGAAAACCCTAACCAGGAGACTCGATTATATAGGTTGCGTCAGGCTTCCTGGATGGAGACCTCAGAATGATTGTAACCTGTGGTTAGAGACTGTTATTTCGTTTGGGCGGTCCTCGTAATGATTGATGCTTATGTTTTGATTTCCCTAGCCAAAATTTCTTTCAACAAACACCACCTTGTGTCCACAGTGTCCAACAGTACAGAATAATATGCCCATTTCCATAACCTTGGAAACAAATCTGCTAGGTGTCACTAATGGTTTGTTCGGTCGGGAACATTGTTATATACATTACGTTTTGTATTTACTGTTGAATACTGATGGCATAGCGTTACAAGTTTTTAGTTGTTGTATTATTATACTATCCTGGTGGAAAGTTTGTGTTTCTCCACCAAGCCCATGCATAACAGCGTCCGTCCTCATAGTGTGATTGTTTTCATTGCCGTCTGGTATTGTTTTATAAACGTAGTCTGATCAACTAACTGAAGTTCGGTATTTTTCTACAGATGCTACAAAAAAATCCTGAGGAGCGGATTACTGTGACTGGTATTTTATCTCATCCGTGGATCGTGCAACACGCAGAGCACTCGCTTACCCGCTGTACAGCTGCACTGCTAGATTGGCAAGGACTGAATTGTTGTGCTCAGTCGTCCACATGTTCAAGCTTCCAGTCCACTGATCGTTCAGTCAGTAGTGGTGAATCTCAATCGACCAATTTGATCACTGGTTCAGATTCGGTTCAAATGGGTGAATAACCACAGTGCTGCTCATTACTCCGCGCAAATCGCTTCTCCTATTCCAGCGAACCGTTTTTCCAGATTTATCTCCTGCTTGTGGCTGCGTTGTCTTTCACAGACCCGTTTGTACTTCAATCACAATTTGTTCCACGAAGCTGTTCGTCTACCCACATTTAATCGTTCACATGATGTTCTCAGGCGCCGAGTCAAATGTGATTCGTACTGTTTGTAATCGGAAATGTATACTGTTTGCAAGCCGATTTTCACCAGTACAGATACATGTTTGATTTGATTTTAATGTTGCATAACCCATCCCCTCCTCTCATTGCTGTCAAAAAAGGGTACATGACTAAAACATATCCCTTACAAATGAATTCAGTGTGCGCACATACAGACGATTCCATTTTGTGAAGGTCTTGAGTACACCAACACTAACCTGGTTTCTTTCAGTGCACGCTCCGCCTGCGGCCGTCACGGTTCAACCAACCGGAGTAGAGTTGAACTGTACGCATCCACGCAATTGGGAACCCCGAGAAGGGTAAATTTTTAAGTGTTATCATTGCCTGTAGTTCTACAAATCTGAACAAAACTGTGTCGATAATATATTGGAGTGGTGCGTGGTATATCTATTCATATTAAACGTTTTCATTGTGCGGACAGTAACAAATATAGTAACAATAATATTTCGGTTCTCTAAATTCAGTGTGCCTTTTGTGGAAAAAGCACACTGATAGTGGTTTCGGAAAATCGAACCTCGGTTCCCGAACAGTGCATTCTGTTGTATTGGTTATTGCCATTATCCGGCCACTATCAATAGTTTTCAACAGATTTGAATATGGGTGTGGTTTGTAGCTCAGGTTGATGG